CATGGCTGTTTTGTTTGTTAAATAGATTCAGTTGTAAGCGGCACCCTGGCTGTTTTGTTTGTTAAATAGATTCAGGTGGAAGTGGCACCCTGGCTGTTTTGTTTGTTAAATAGATTCAGGTGTAAGTGGCACCCTGGCTGTTTTGTTTGTTAAATAGATTCAGGTGTAAGTGGCTTCCTGGCTGTTTTGTTTGTTAAATATACGCATTAACATACTTAGAAAAGCATTTGATTTTTACATTTCATCTGACTAAAAAAAAAAAAAAAAAATTAACCGTGGTCCCTTATTGATTTTTTTAAAGTCCTCTTCTTTTGATTTGTTCATGGAAAAAAAAAAAAGAAGAAACTTCGCCAGCTATTCTGGAACCTAACGGGTCAATCACAAATACTTAGCTAATCATCAACTTTTTTGCGCCTTTTTAAGAATAGCGATATTAGATCAACACGTATGTGTGACAATACTGATCAATGGTCATTATAAAGCCCAGTGATCGATTTAACGTACAATTTTAACACTTTGAAGTCCCAGAAGATAGTTATCATCAAATGTATTTGAGCGAAACCTTTCAATGTGTCAATACAGAAGCTGACAACCGTAACAAAGACGGATCGTACGCCTGCCTAAAACTTCGTAAAAGATCAAATCTGAATGAAATGTCTGAGTTTCTTTGTTCCAAACGGCTTTAAATTTAAAGAGAACTACTTTTTGCTCTGTATAGGTTGCCACCAAATTCTTGACTATAGAGCAGGAAAGAAAACGGACAGCTCTGCTGTTTAGTCTCCGACTTTGCAACTCTGATTAACTAATAAATAACAAAGTATCAACAGCTTGTCAATATAAAAAGAAAATAGGCAAACAGTATTATATCCACATGATATCAACAGGATGCCACCAGTATATGAGCATGATACAAACAGGACACCAGTATCATAATAATATCCAAGCGGTACCAGCAGGATGACTTCAGTATACCAAGCATGGTACATACAGGAGTATTATATCCACATGATATCAACAGGAGGCCAGAAGTATATCAGCATGGTACAAACATGATACCGGTACAAAGTATTATATAGGCATGATATTAACAGGCTGCCAGCAGTATATCAGCATGATAAAAACAAAATACCAGTATTATTAATCTACGTAACATTTTTTTTAAAAAGTATACCAATTGTAAACTAACCATTCTTTGAAAGCTCTTCAATCGGTGTATTCAAAATGCGTTGCTTTTCCGCAGCAACATCGTCTTCCTCGTCCGGACCATCTGAATCGGTATCTTGTACCTCGTCTTTAGTACACAAGTAGAAACTAGGTAAGAAAAATCATAATACAGATATCTGGAAAAGTTTGATTACTCTTTTTATGTTTAAGTAATTTTTATTTTTTTAAAAATCATTTAACAATCTATTTCAATATTGTTTTTTTTTTCTGTCTATGAGATTTTTAAATTTAAAAATTGTGTCATACGACCATGATGCATTAAAATTGTGTAGTGACGCCTTCCATTATTATTTTATTCAGCGTTGGTATCCCTTTTTCGCTTATCGCCTTAGCGATATTTTACAACTTTCTTACAGTACAAAAATTATGTTATCAGTCAGGGATGTAGTCACATTATGCAATTTTCTTACATTACAAAAAGTATGTTATCCATCAGGGACATAGTGACCTTATACAACTTTCTTACATTACACAAATTATGTTGAGGGATGAAGTCACATTGTGCAATTTTCTTTCTTTACGAGAAGTATGTTATCAATCAGGGACATAGCGACCTTGTGCAACTTTCTAACATTACAAAAATTATGCTATCACACAGGGATGTAGCGACACTTTAAAACTTTCTTACATTATAAAAATTATGTTATCAATCAGGCATGTAGAAACATTGTGAAACTCTCTTATATTACAAAAATTATGTTATCAATGTAAGGGAGGCATCATTGTTCTTTCTACGACGAGTTGGATAATGAAATTTCACCTCCCCCCCCCCCTAACTTATAAGTGACTTTCATTAAACAAATTCAATAAAGTCTCTTATCCGTCGGGTGTATAAGGGAGACAATGTTAAGCATGCCATGACAAGCCGGAAACTGTAAGTTATTAATTACTTTTTTTTTTATATGAAGAATTGTTTATAAATTCTCTTTTGACAAAACTCTGGCTGACACTAGTAGATTTTCTTTTGATCCCAACCACCAACAGACGGATTTGAAGAGGAGCGGTTCATTTTTTTTTTCTTTCTAATTTTTTTTCTTTTGCTTTCATCCGTCCGTCACAGTGTGACGATGGTGAAGATTTCACAGGACGAAATCCACAAGGCAGGGGCGTCATTTTCATTTTTTTTCAGGGGTGGGGGAACAAAACTTGGTCGGCTTGTTAAGTTATTTATTACTGGAGGCACCGCAGTACATAGAAATTCAAATAAAACCTGCAATTTCAGGGGGGGGGGAGGTAAATGGCCCACCACACCCTACCCAAATTAAGCCCCTGCTACAAGGCCTGGGATTCTTCTTTTTTAAAAAAAAAATCATAAGCTGGTTCCCTACACAGCAAATCGCCTCTCTCCACGCCGCTGGATAACCCAATGGAACATCATGAGGATGATACAACTTGGCACCAGTGGTGTCGCTGGAGTTGCCGGAATGTTTCATTGTGTCAATGTTATCCGCCTACGGGACTCCATTACAGGGTTTTGAATTTAGAGTTGCCTTCTCCTAGATAAGTTTCCGTCAACAGCTATCGCGTCCCATCCATACAGGGTGCTGGGAATGTTTTTACTTGACTGGAGTTTGGCGGGGATTTGGCACCCCGGCCCCCCCAGCACCCCATCGGTTCATATGGTCTTAACTAATCCCTGAAACACTATAAGTTTTTAAATGTCTGCTCACTAGAGTCTCGTTATCAAGCCGTATTCAATGCAGAACACGGCCAGACACCCGAAGCAGCCTTGTGCCACCATCAGAACCAGGTAACTTCCGATTCCCAGATCTCGGTCCATCTCTAACACATTGTCAGTCCATTTAAAGCACTTGCCGTGTGGATTTAGCGAATAGCAGATGTCTGAGGAGGAAAAATATGTGGAAGAATAAATGTAGACTGAGATATTTGTGTCTTTTTCAATTTAAAAAATTAATCATAATCAATAACAATTGTCATTATTTTGATTCTAGTTAAAATTTCAACAAAATATGCCGTTTAAAAAATGTTGACATTATATGTTCAGGGGTCGAGTCCTGCGGGAATTCATTGGAACGGTGTCTATGTCTTTTTATTTTTTTGTGTTTCTATATGTGTACATATGTTCATTTTGGGATTGGGAAATCTTGGTTGCGTTCCCCCCAATTTTCCCCAGGAATAGACCACTGTATTTAGCAGATGAAAAAAACAACAACTTAGTTCACGAATGTAATTCTTTGGTTGTATTATATTTTCAGCTTTTAGGCCTTGTCATTTCCTATAAGGGCATTAGACTGTACACACGAATCCAGAAAAAAATACAACTCCATAAAAGAATCTGATTTTCTTTTAGAATGTCCTACCCAAACATTGTGACTTTATTTTAGAATATCCTACACAAACATTCTGACTTTCTTTCAAAACTCGGATTTAGTTTCCCGTTCTAAGGAAACGACTGGAACATCAGAAGAAAAACTAACAACACGAATCTTAATGAAGGTTTATTTTTCCTTTTGTCTTCTAAGTGAAAATAAAATGTTTGGACTCAAACTGACTTTTAGGTATCTGAAGGGAGGCTGTAGACACAGACGGCTAGAAATAACGTTATGACGTTATTTCCAGCCAATAATCGTTTACTAACGCCATCGATTTAAAAAAAAAAAAAATATCGGAATTATGGGCTGCATTTAATTTTTAATTTGTTTTTGAATGTCAACAGGCTTTATTACGATAGCACTTTTATTAGTATTAAAGTATAAAGAGTCGCTTGTGAATAGCGCTCAGCGTTAATCCAAGCCCATCAATTGTTTACTTTCGCCCACTCAGCGTTTTTCCAAGCTGATAAATTGTTTACTTCCGTCCACTCAGCGTTTTTCCCAGCCGATAAATTGTTTACTGCAACCCACTCAGCGTTTTTCCCAGCCGACTGTGTTTTTACCACTTCGTTATCTGAATGAACAGACCTGGAAAATTGATGCAGCATAGTGACGGTATCCCTTTCTCGCAGGCGTCCTGGTACGGCTCGCATTCCACCTGTGCCTTGTGGTTCATGAGGATGAAGCTGAAGCACTGGGACAGGTTGAAACAAGGGAAGAACACCGTGAATATATAATTAAGAATCTTCGCCACGTGCGTGTTTTCCGAGGTGGGCTTGCCGAATTCAAAAACCATGATATCACTGAAAAGAACTGAGAACAGAAAAAAATACACCAGAAGATAACGATTTGATATGAAATCAACGAAACTTTGGCAGATTTCAGTTTTATTATTATTTTTAATCTAAGTGTTTTCAGTTTCAGCATCGAAAAAATTGGTAGCCTAGTTATCTAGTACTAGATAATGTATAATCTAAAATATGGTAGCCTACTTGTCTAGCACTAGATTTATATTCTTTAAAAATTTGGTAGCCTACTCGTCTAGCACTAGATTTATAATATAAAAAAATGTTGTATCCTAGTTGTCAAGCAATACATTTATATTCTAGAAAAAAAGTGGTATCCTAGAGGAATTTATAAAAACTTTTGTGGGCTTGTGGTTCAAAAAATTTAAATTTTAACACAATAATATTTACTTAGATGATTTAGTATCGTTTTATAGCGCCGAAGACAAACGACAATAGGCTATGTCTAAAATATATTTAACGTTAAAAAAACTTTAAAATAAAAACTCTCTGATCTATAAAATTTAGTAAACATAGCGTAGTTTTATCTAAATATTGTTTTAAATTATATATTCCTAACTTCAAAAAAAAAATGCTTATAGATATTGGGATAGCATTTTCATCATGGAAAAAAAGCATTGTTGAAAGATGTAATTTTGAATCTTAACATTGGTGTAATCACACCTGATAGTAGATTCAATATGAGCACCCCGGCCAGGCCGGACGACGGTGAGCTGAAGCAGAACTGGAGGGCGTACGTGATGGGCAGTATGGACCAGATGAAGATGCAGAAAATGATGATCACCAGAATCCAGTTGTTCCCGGACAGGAACGCTTGGAGGTCGAAGATGAAGAAGATGATGAAGAGCAGGAGGATGGGTATGATGAAGCCGATGGCGTCCCACAGGAACGTCGGTATCCAGTACATGAGCATGCTGACCCCGAAGATGGCCTGCATGTGCTTCACGCCGTTCTAGAAGAGGAGGGGGGGGGCGCGGACGAAAATAAGTGCGAAAATGAGTCAATTTTTGTTGATTCAAAATTATTAAAACGTATCAAATAAAACGCAGTGACAAAAACTATTTAGCTAAACGATTACATCTCAACAAAGTTTAAATTGAATTCATAAGGACGATGTCGTAGAGACAAATTAATGCTAATAAGAGACATATTAAGTGTTACCTGGTCTTTTTCTTTGAACAAGTCTTTATATAAATTTGTTTTTGCTTGTGTTTTTAATTATTATATTTTTTATTGATTTTAGTGAGATTTTTTTTTGAGGGGGGGGGGGGGGGGGGGGGGGGGGGGTTGTGGGGGGAGGGGGGTTTGGAGGGGGGGGGGTTGTCAACTATTTTTGAAGTTTCTAAGTTTCGGGACAATCTTTTGAAAAAAAAGACTTTTACATTTTAGGAGACCTGGCCTGAAACATGGATTTGCAAGTTTTTTCTAAAAGAGCCATAACGTAAAAACATAGTTTTTTTTGTTTTTTTTCCCAGGAAGCTTGAAGTCGTCAATAGTTTCCCCTGGCATACAGCTTGGACAAATCTAATAAGCTTACATGTCTCTCCCTGAGGATGAAGTGGACGACGCTGGCAGAGAACATGGCCATCCCTATGCCCGTGAACATCCCGGCGAAAAATCCGGACCTGAAGCTCTCGAACATGGAAAACTCGAGCTCGGACTCCCCTTTGAACGGTATCGGCAGTATCCCAACGGTTATATTGTACGAGTCGTCGAGCAGGTGGGTCACCATCGTCTTCATAACCAGGTCTACCTTAAAAAAAAGGAAACGGTCGTTGCGTCTTTCTTTACAGTACAAACAGCAGACGAAGTATGACAAGTAGGTTAATTTGTGGGTTTGCCAACCTTGTGGAAATTACGTTCCGAAACGTGTGAAGTACAAGAAAACAATTTTGTCTTTCTAGATGGCACTGCATCCCAATGGCAAAGCTAGGGTTGGTGCCGCCCGGGGTGGGGATAATCTTTTAGCCGCCTCCCAACCATGAAAGAAAAAACTTGGCATTTGGCCGAAAGTGCCGCCCCTAAATAGATATACATATACTATCACTTTCCATAACATATACAAGATAAACAAAGAAGTTAGTGGGGAAATGTTTAAACTTTTACGCATTCCCCAGGTAGTTCATCCAACAGGACTGAAGTTCAGGCACCCGTGGGTGCTACTTACGGAGACGAATAAAGAATGATACGGTTTGCCGTTGAACAAAGCGATCGCTGCCAGCGAATGGAAACCAGGATTGTAAATGAACTGGGCTCCGACGACAAAGTTTTTTTGTAATTCCACTTCCATCGAATCCTTCAACTCTGTCTTGAAGTACTCGTCAACATCATCATACTGAAAAAAACAATAGGATTGACGTGAATGATCAAACCAAGCATAGCTATTGTACTTCCTCTTTGCCTTTTCATCTAACTTTTGGGCTTGGCCAATAAAAATAGTTTATTTCCAAACCTTCAAGCCTCTTATTATCGTTTTATCTTTATATCTCATCCCAATTTTTATTATATTATTATTATTAAGGTGGTTTTATATAGCACAGCACCAAGCTTCACATAAAAATTAGCAATTACAGAAAAATTATATAATTTAAAAACAGTAATTAATGAAATGCTTAACCTCACCCACCCAAGTACTATCTAGCCTTGTCTAGTCATGGATCCCCCTGTTTTGGGGGGGGGGGGAGAATGAGTCGGTATACTACAGTTTGAAGAGATGGGTCTTGAGGCTTTGAAGGCTGTGATGGTCGTTATATTGCGGATGTGTAATGGGAGAGAATTCCATTGTTTTGAGGCACAGAAAGAGAAAGATCGTTCACCACATGTTTTAATGTGTGTTCTTGGAACAGAAAAAGAATATATCACTAGAAATATATGACCTGATGTTAACGGGATAAAAATGATAGAAACTTCGCGATAATATCTACCTGCTATTGCGAAAATACATCACAACTCCTTATTTTAAAAATAAGTATATATGTTATGATCTTTACGTTTCTAGCATCAGAAAGTTTTGAGAAGTAATTTTCTTCTATATATTATACGTACACCCTACCCCTTTTTTGCACCCATAAACCATAAAGATTTTCTCTAAACATTACCTTAAATTACCAAATCTAATTTTCGCAGTTCAAACCGATTTGTGGCTGACTGGTCCAGCTGCACTCAGGTCGCTAAAGAGCTGCATGCGTTTCGCGAGCCGTCACTGCCCCGGCTCAATCTTACAGATATATTGTCGACCTCTTTTTTTTTTTCCTCCCGGATGTTAAACTATTGTTAATGCAGACATTTTTTGTTTAAATAATTTCACCATAATAAATGGCGAACTAAGCTGCATTTCTATTGCTTTGTGCTACCTCGTTCAATCGGACTTCCCAATAAACTTAGACAAACTCTGCTCCACCGTACACAGCTTTAGACAGCCCTAACATTTTTTTTGAATGAAGCATAACATCTTTAACATCAACAACTAGGTAAATTAATTCTGAAACATGCTAAGTTGTTAAACAGGAGAATGTCATGTATGCTACAAAAAGAGTGGAGGTTGTTTTTTTTTTGTGTGTGGTTTTTTTTTTGGGGTGTGTTTTTTTTTTTTTTTTTTTTTTTTTTTTTAGTAAAAACAAGGATTGAGAAAATGTTTATCTGCCAGTGTCGGTAAAAAGTATATATTACATAGGCGTGGTTTGGGGGGGGGGGG